CAGCTGCCTGAACAACTACACGCCAAACTGTAAACAAATGTGGAGAGCCCTTGCAAAGTTTTAGTCTCGCAGTTTGTCCGGTAAACGAAATAGCCAATTCATTACAAATATCTTTGAAGTGTCCTAAGTCGTGGCACAAGTGAAAATCGAAACTCAATTTAGGTATACCATTTTCCATAGGAACAACAAATATTCTGGCAAAATTTCAGCTACTGTTTTCCGGAAAATTTTCGAATTAGCATAGCATCAACTGCGAAATTTGACGTGATCATACATGCGACAAAAGCATGTGCAACAGCTGTATTTGAAATCTACAGCTCATACATGTACAGAGAACATCCGTACAGAGCCCCAGCCTGCTATCTTACCTGGTTCAAAAAATCGTTTCCCGCCACAGAAATCTGCATATTTTTTCGGGGGACCGTACGCGAGATCTAGACACCATGAACGAAGATTTTAAAACGCAAAAGCGTCATATGCGGTAAAAATATCGCCCAGAAATTTTAGCCTCCCACTTTGCAGCTGCCGAGTTGAAAGTGGATGACAAAGTTCACTCGCTTCCGAACACATACACGCGGACGTGTTATCGATAATATGCATTTTTGGTTACAGAAAAAAAAACGCGCAAAAAAGAAGTGACGAGTAAAACAACGGTCAAGCAATGTAAGTTCAGCTGCAACCATGGAACTGTTATAAATTCCTTCTTCGATGCCTAATTTCCGTGTGATAACAGCTAATCAAAGTAGATCTCGTTGCAGTAAATGGGTCTCACCTTCCAGGAGCCTAGCAATAATGTTATCTAAATTGAGCTTCTCTCCATCGACAGACATTATCGGCAGCAGAACGGCGGGCGAATTACACCTCACAGAATCACAGATGGTTGGTTGATACACCACGGCCTGAAACAACATCAGTGATGCACAGCACCCATTCCCCTTACTAGGGCCATCTAGAAACAGGCAAAGATCCCAGCCTGGAGGTGCCAAAAGAGAGCTTCGAAGCAAAAAAACCCTAACATTATGCCCCTTCACAACCCAAAGAAGTTTGGTTTCTTTTGGATATAATGTTCGGACTTTTAGCTAGTGCGGACATGGTGCATTCATGTTGAAGGCTAAGAGATTCAACTCTGCCAGTGGACCAACAAATCCCCTCCTCCCGACTTATCCATGAGATCCTTAACAACTTCCTATCCTCGGCCATAT